AAATTGTACATTGAAATTTTTTAAAAGAATACTTGGAGTGTGATCTACAATCAATACCGAAACCAAAAATATAGATTTTAGAATTTTTGTCTGTTTGTCTGTATGTATGTCCGGGATAAACTCAAAAAGTACTGCATGGATTTACTTCAAATTTGGCACGAATATTATTAAGAGGTCGGGTCAACATGTAGGCTACATATTATCACGCTATCACCTACGAGGAACGAGCAGTGAACCTTTATTTTTCCAACGCATTCTGTAACAACGTGTAATCTAACGACGCATATTTGAATGTTGTTATTATGTTAACCAAGCTTTGAAAGGGGATTGGGTAATTTTGTATGGAGGTTGGCTTGATTTTTTTTTTCAGCGGCCACTGTACTAATTATGATTGTTTGATAGTACTATATATGTGAATTGTTCTTAGCAAAGTAGTAGTTCCATAACTAATATCGGAACCAAGATATTTGATCTTGAATTCTAACAAAAGTCATATGATATAAAAGCTCATTAAATTATCTCCAGCCCCTCTAGCATGACCACCGAAACGGGATATGATAAAGCGATATATCGACATTAACTGTCAGATTACTATGGAGTTTGACAGTAGTCTGACAGTTAATGTCGATATATCGCTTTATCATATACCGTTTCGGTGGTCATGCTAGAGGGGCTGAGATTATTATACATGTTTCGTATTGTGGTAACGCTTTCTAAAAGCTAACATTAATTTAAAAAAAAAAGAAACAGATCAAAAACTTGATCTAGAGTACCTACCTAGAAGTTCTTTGAAAGAATTCTGGCGGGGCGTATCATCGAGCACCTGAGGGAGTCGAACCCAAATCTGGCAGAGCACCAGTTCGGGTTCCGGCGAAACCGGTCCACGGTGGAGGTGGTGGCCCTTTTGAAAGGGTGGACCGAGGCGGCCATTCGTCGGGGAGAGACTGCTATTGCGGTGTAGCTAGACATCCGCAACGCCTTTAACAGTCTTTCCTCCAAAATAATACCTGCCTTCATATTTGACAAAAAGTACAGTATACATTTACTGGATGACAACGATCCCAAGGTATCATACAAGGCTCTCATGATCTACACCGACAGCTCTAAAACCTCAACGGGCACGGGCGCGGGTGTTTTCTCTGAGGACCTCAATATACATATCGCTTTCCCCTTAAGCCCGTACAACACAGTTTTTCAAGCTGAATGTATGGGCATCATACTGGCGGCAAGAGCGATCCTTTCAAGAAAGGTAACAGGACAGGAAATACGAATACTGTCCGAAAGCAACAACAAGCTTTAGATGCCTGTTTAGTCAAATCGAGCCTCCTGCAAGAATGCCACCAAACCCTAAACACGGTAGAGTAAAGCAATTCTATTACTATCCAATGGATAAAGGGACACAGTGGATCACGCAGAAACGACGCTGCGGATGAGCTGGCCCGGAAGGGGTCCGATTCGACCCCAACAGGTCCCGAACCAATCGTCCCGATACCAGTAAGCTGTCTCGTAAATATAATCTGCGAGCACACAGCCGCATTACACCAGCAACACTGGCTCGATCTGGAGACGTGCAGGCAGACCAAGCTCGCTTTGCCACGGGTGAACGCTGTCCTCTCCAAAACTCTTCTACAGCTAAGCAAACCTACATTGCGCATGGTAACAGGTGCTATTACCGGACCTGCACATTTTAACAGACATCTTTTTAACTTAGGCGTCACGGACAACCCTCTATGCAGAGGATGCATGGAGGCAGAAGAAACAGCTACTCACGTTCTGCTGGAATGCAACGAAGTGGCGAATACCGGGCGAAATACCTCGGCTCACCGGGAAACCTCCAAGAGGCAGTCACAAATGTGAAGGCCCTGGGGGCGTTCCTGATGAAGCTGGGCTGGCTGGAGTGATTCCGGCTATACACCCTCCTAACGCAAAACAGGCGCCATAAGGACGTCGAGTTGCAGAAACGCCCGTTAAAAGAAGAAGAGAACAGTCTCTCCACGAGGGCACTACATTTTCACTGCGTGCCTCCATACCTGCGAGCCATCGTGGAGGACTACCTGCAGAGGAGGTCAGTCTTCTACGAGGGGCCCGATGGAAGCGTATGCTCTCGGGCCATGGCCACAGGGGTACCCCAGGGGTCAGTGCTATGTCCACTGCTCTGGAACCTGGGGTACGACTGGGTGTTGCGAGGCAGCCTTCTTCCCAGCACGGAGGTTGTCTGCTTCGCCGACGACACGTTGGTAGCGGCGAAGGCAAAGTCGGTAGAGGAGGCGGTTCGCCTGGCGTCGCCGTCGGTCGGCACTGCGCTAAGCCGGTGTGGCGGCCTCTTTTCCGCATAGTGCAGATACTGACCGGACACGGATGCTTCGGTTACTACCTGTACCGTATCGCCCGCCCAAGAAACGCCGCAGTGCCATCACTGCAGCGCCCCGGACGAAACGACCGAGCACACCTAGTTGGAGTGCCCGGCCTGGCTACAGCAGCGCTGCGACCTAATCGTGGCGTTAGGAGGCGGAACCCTCTCGCTGAGGAGCATGGTAGAGGCCATGCTCAGTAGCGAGACGGCATGGAAGGCTGCCTCCTTCAGCAAGAACATCTTCTCGTAGAATGAGGCAGCCGAGAGGGAGCGGGAGGATGATTCCCTGACCGCTCCCTCCCGCCGAAGAAGAGTGGGCAGCAGAGGACGAGTGTGCACCCTGGCTGCGCCCGTCCCATGGCCCTGCCCGTGGGGATCCCGAGCTGTCCGGCTACACTGGCATATATATAGAGTTGACATGATCTTCACATACACGAGATCTAAGTGGAATATCCAAAGACTGATGCGATTGGCTGAGACGCTCAAACCAGACAAAAAAGGGTCTGTTAAACCGTTATTAACTTAAATGGTATGTTTTAGACAACAATTCATACAAAAAAGCACGTAAGATTTAGTGATATGAATTTACGATTATTCTATTTTAAAAAAATCATATCTTGGCTTCGATGTACTTTACAGATATACTAGCTGACCCAGCGAACTTCGTACCGCCCTAAAAAATAGGGGTTGTCCAGCGGACAAAATTGTGAATCTAAACCATTCTCAGATCCCCTTGAACACACACAAAAAATTTCATCAAAATCGGTCCAGTCGTTTAAGAGAAGTTCAGTGACATACACACTCACAGAAGAATTATATATATAAAGATGGCCTTAATATTTTATTTTTATTTTTTTAGTACTATTCATTAAAAAATAAAGCATTCGTGGCCGCAGACTTTGAAAATCAAGCCACTTTTACCCAAACCCCTTTAACATGTATGCTCTATAAATGGTATAGAGGTGAGGAGTAATAGTGTATCTTTAGAAATAAACCCCCTTTTAGGGTCAAAAAGTATGTATGTGCAAATAACTAACTCCGCGCGTACGAAGTCGCAGGCGGCCGCTAGTGATATAATATGTCTGAAAAAAACTTATAAAAAATACCAAAACTACTAACTAAAAGTACTAAAAATAAATTGCAATAATAATAATTTCTGCAGAAATAGACATAATATTATGTTGGTGCCTTGAGGATCAAATCTTTGATTGGGTATTTGACAAGTTTTAGAAAATGATCTCACATTATTGACTAATGTTTATGGAGTCCGTAAAAAGTGGATATTCATTATTCTGTTGTGTATTTCAGTAAAAATAACTAAATCAAAATCTCCATTATTAAGTTGCCGCGAAAACGTTTTTCTGGACAATATGGAGTCTTACTAGTGTGTGACATCACACAACTGTTATTAACACGTCAAACAATACAATGTAATGTCACTTTAACCAGAAGTTTACTTGCGTGTGACGTCATTTTAGGCTCAGCCAATCCCAAGCATTTTGGGTCATGTGACAATAGATAAGAAAACTATTATCTTTTTTGTGGGTTTTTAGTAAATATTGTAATGAATATCTTTTATTGTAAAAATAGTAAAAACCCCTGCCACTATTCATTTTAAACACAGATGCTAACAATTGGCACTTTATTTTTAATACTGTCAAATACCCTATTGCTGCAGTCTGTCTAAGTGAGCATCAGACCAATGAAGGAAGTCTAAGAACCTGGGACCAAATAACAGTGCATATTGTAAGAGCAGTGGTCAAGGTTGTAGGTTTTATTCATTTGAGCATAGTCACTCAACAGTAATTTTCTAGATATAGATATTCCAAATCAAATGAGAGAAGGCTGAGAAAAGTAGAGTTGACGATGAACAAACACATAGAAGACAAAATAAGCATATATATTTTTATCATGGTATGGCAAGGGTCCTACACTGCTACACTCTTAGAAGTTTACTGCAGATAACAAAATTTATTTACCTAAGTACTGAGTTGGTAAATAGACTATGATCTATTCTTTATTTCTAATAAAAGTATATTCCCGGGCAAGACAGACAATTTTGTTCCAGAATAATGTGAAATTGATAATAAATACCATAATAAGCCCTAAAAAAGTCCTGGATTTACCAACTGCACATAATATACTGATAGATTATATTCAATCATATTAATAACATGCAATATACCCTGTATGCTAAACTACAAAATAAACACAAACCCAGAGACTTGGATTATTGTGGTTGGTAACTTAATTTTATTGTTAATTCATAAAAAAATATTAAATAGGCCAATAAACTTGCATTAAACAAAAATAGGATCATTATTAAAAAAACATCTTACAGTAAGTGCTAAGCAGCAGTAGTTACTGTGGTTGTAGGAATAAAAAATAGTTGTTATTCAATTGGTGGCCAAGAATTTATTATTAGTGAGTTCACTTTTCTTTTCCAGGCACATTAAGCTATTGGTCCAGTCTACATCTGCAGTTGTTGGCACCCACCAATGCACAATGGGACAATCTCTTCTCCCAGCAGTGGAAACATATATTTACAGGCAGCTTATGGCATTTCTTTATCTGACATTTATTACTGGTTTAAGCAGTCATATATTGATATGTGTAGCTGTTATTAATAAAATTGAAAATTACTTACCCTTTTCTGAAGCTACGAACTTGGTCCATACTCAATTTATAATAAGGGTTGTGAATATCTGGTAATATTCTTTTCAAAAAAGTCTCTTTGAGACTCTGCCATGATCTGTTTGTGAGCTGAAAAAACAATGATATAATATTATAGTAAGTTTGCATGAAAAACAGTATGTATGTGTTTAAAATGAACATCAATAATTTAATTTTAATCACCCAGTAATTACCTGAGAGTTGGAAAAATTCATCCACATTTTACGACCTTTTATTTCTCCATACGCTTTGTGGTCTACCAAGTAATCCACAATGGTTTTCATTTCTTTCAATGTATATGATTTCCTGCAATAAAATGATTGCCCGATAATAAACAGGACTGGAACGATATGATTGAATAAACATTCATGTAACACATAAAGGAATGTTATATTGAAATTTAAAAGGTGTTTAAAACAAAATTGCTTACCCCGACATTTTTAGAAAGACGCCCGGCAAATTCAGTTTTCAGATTGAGAATTCAATCAAACTTCACATGGCAATCGCAGTGCCAACTACCAAAATATTTCAATTCCGTAGATATTTAATGTTTGCTACAGTATTATTTGTTTATTTAAAAAGTAGAATCCAGCAGAAATTGAAAAATTTGCCGAGTAAGAACTTTATTTACAAATTCACCTTCAAAATTAAACATACAACGTCGATCGAAACTACAGTTTTTTTTTTGTGTTAAGGTCTTCCTTTTCTGGGAAGGCAAAGACAGCAATGCCCATACAGCCTGTTTTTTGATATATTTTAACGGTTATTGATATTATCCATACAGCCAATACTTCAGTAGTATATATTTATTTGTGAATTGATCTTTCTAAGTTCTTGAAGTGTTATATTATTTTCTTTCACAAGTGTTAAAAGTAACGTAGATGAAATCGTATATAACTTGATATGATTCACTATTCTTCAGAGAATAGGTAATGTTACAAAAACTCAGTCAAAGAATAAGAAGTGAGAAACTGAGAATTAATAAACGAAAGATTTAGACTAAAAAGATTGATTAGACACAAATATCGAACACAGCTTGTGATCATGTATCGCCATCTCTTTTATGTGTATAGCAATGTCCCTTAAATTGGCTCCAGATATAGGGTACGGGTACGGCCACAGTGCACTCAGATTCAGATTCAGACTCAGAAAACAAGCGCGAGAAATAAATAGTGTAGTTTAAGCAGGGTGGCCATAGTGGCAGCAGGTAACCTGCTTAAACTACACTGTTTATTTCTCGCGCTTATTTTCTGAGTCTGAATTTGATTCTGAATCTGAGTGCACTGTGGCCGTACCCTTAATGTATCTTAAAGATTATATTATATTTAACAAGCTATCTGAATTCCTAACTAAACATAATATAAAATTATAAGTAATTTATAACAAATAATGTAATGTTTTTTTATATTCTTATATAATATAATAAAGACCTATTGTTTACGTTTCAAATTAATTCACCTACCTGATCCTAATCCTTCCAAATTCCGTTTCACAACCTTTTTATTTCATTATTTTGGTTTCCTTACCTTTTGCTCTGTCGTGGCCAATGCACAAACTGTGCGCACCATTAATAAATAAATAAAAAAAGAGAGTTTTGGCGGGATTCAAGAAGCTTATTTATAACACTGGAGATTGCAGTCCAAACAATACCTTGAAGTGAAAAAATATGGCCTTGAATGACGTCACATATGTTTGTTATCTCTTTCTAAGGGTGACCATGTTGGAATATACGTTTAGGATACATACTTTCTACTACTACTTTACTGTCTTTAAACAATTTATAAATCAAAGCGTTGGAGTTGATAGGAACTTGGGAACACATTATTTAATAGTAATAAAATTCACAAGTACAAAAATCATTTCATATTAGATGCGTCTTATATTATGCAATGTCAAAAACGTTTATAAAAAAAATAACGAGAAAGAATATGCAAACCCTTTTTAAAATCGCCAGAAATGCCTTTTACTAAGAACGGACTAGAAACTCTAAGCTACATATTTTGGCTGATAAATAAAATTGACCTTTTAATGGTATTGTTACGTGTCGGGATGGGGTGCGAAATTATATGCCAGTTCACGATTGACAGTTCTTTATTCACCACACAGTTCACACAATTAACACACAATGTTAATTATAAAACACTCACTAAACACTGTATTTCACTAAACAAGTCTCTAAACAATCTCACTTGAACACTTTTGTTGCACTTTGATCGCCTTTGGATTCGCTCCGAAATCGCTGTTGAAACTCAACTGTCTCTGCGCGGCGCCAATCGCCCTTGTATACGCCGATCGATGCATTCTAGAAAGTAAATAAATAAATAAATATTTCCAACACTCACACCAATTAGCCTAGCCCCAAAGTAAGCACTATAAGGCTTGTGTTATGTGATACTAGGGTAACGGATAGAATACATAAACTGTACATATATAAGTATATTTTTTTTTATAGAAATACATATTAAACATCCATGACTGGAGTACAAATGCTCGTATTCATCACACAAACATCTGTCCCCACCGGGATTTGAACCCGGGACCTCTCGAGTCGGCGACACCATGAAACCCGGCGTACAAACCACTCGACCACGGAGGTCGTCGAAAGTCGAAGTTCTAGAAAGTACCTGTTAAATTGAGAATTACCTAGCACCCGCGAGTACGAAATACCTACTTATACCTACGCAAGTAACACGCATAACTTGTAAACAAGTGCAGATATCTTTGCACTTTCTCCTTTACGTCGCACTGCATAAGGCTCATTTTAGAATGAGCCGCCTTACTCGACTTCTATCGCGACCCGGGGTGCTCTGGCAAATTCGATCTCTAGCACATTCGCGGTTCCGTTTCGAGAGCGTTTGTGACAGTATAATGGACAACCAAGAATTTCTTTTAATGACATCTTTCGGGAAGCTGAAACATAAACAAAGGTATATATAAGACCGCTGCTAGATAGTTATTAAATAGGTTTTCTACATCTAATCAACATGATCTACTACAGTATTTATTATAAACTTATTTTCATATTTTGAACTTTGTAATTAATATTTACAATAATACTTATGTATTTTAACTTTCTCAAAATATCTCAAGTGTAGTGATAATGGTTACCCTACAAAACCAAAATTTATATTATTTTAATTTAATAAACTGCTGAATATGGTACGAAATGTAGTGAATAAAACAAGAATAACGTTAATATATAGCCTCAGGACACTATGATTTATAAATACTAACGTTTTATTATGATTACAACATAAAAATATAGGAATATGTTTATTTCGGTATTGGCGTAATGTAATAGACTTACCTGTGAAATTTAGTGCTGGAATTTGGTTCCCAAACACTTCTGCAATCTCGCACAACACATACATATTATAAATAGCAAATTGAACAATTTAACACTTTTTAATAATAATCTAAACATTCCACTTCCACTTCCACTTTGGGTATTACGGCTCCATCGTTATGCACCGTGGTTATGCACGATGATTCTGCCAATGTCAGGGTTAAGAAAGACACTTGTTATCGATAGCTCTAATTTTAACGGGAATCAAAGGGAAGAAAACGGGAGAGAAGGAAAACACGTCTTCATGACACCAAGAGCAAAAAAACAATATATTATCAAAAAATACATCAATGTCAAAAAACACGAATATTAAAAAAAATACATAAATATATCTAAAAAGGCTGATAGGTTGGATCAGCAACATCCCCCCCTTTTTTAGGTGAGAGGCACCAGCTTCTTAAGGGGTCTCTTAAGTTGCCCGCAGGTAGTTGTCACGTCAGCAACACGAGGTACCCCATCAATGCCTCGATACAAATGAGTGATTCTGCCTTTGGGCCACATGCCTCGTGGAAGATTTCCATCTGCTATAAGCACCATGTCCCCCACTGCAACCAATAGCTGCTGACCAGTACCCCTAGAAGGGGTTAGCAGTGGCAAGTACTCCAGTAACCACCGTCGCCAGAATTGATCGGCCATCCTAGCTGCTTTCTTCCATCTGGTTCTCCCACAGAGGTCGCTGTCATCCAAGTTAGATGACACATTCTTCCCAGAAGAGGTCCCGATAAGGAAATGGAATGGGGTCAAGGCCTCGGGATGGTCTGGGTCAGAAGACACGTGTGTAAGGGGTCTGCTGTTCACCACCGCTTCTGCTTCTAAAAGGAGCGTTGAGAGCACCTCATCTGACGGCGACTTTTCTTTTAGGGTGACTTTTAGCGCTGTCTTAATGCTTCGCACTAATCGTTCCCATGCTCCACCCATGAATGGAGCAGCAGGCGGTATAAATCTCCGCAGGCTCATCATGGCTGCGTCGGTAGACAAACTGTGGACTACCTCCAAATGAACTCCTCGAGTGACCAGGCAGGTGTAGAGAGCTATATACCGCTTTTCACTTCGGCGACCAACGGTGACTGAGACAGGGCCGAAGTAGTCCAACCCGGTGTAGGAAAATGGCCTCTCGCCGTGTGCTAGCCGTGCTGGAGGAAGCTGCCCGACGGGAGGGTTGTACGGCTTAGCTTTTCTGTGCTTACAGAATAAACAATTGTTGGCGACTGTTCTGACTGTGCGTCTCAAATGAATGATCCAGTAGATTTGGCGTAGTTCGTTGACGACCGTCTCTGTATTGGCATGAGCAACCTTTTGGTGATAGCGATGTACTAGAAGGCGAACGGCAGCATGTTTTCCATCCAGGATTATTGGCGACTTGGTGGATGCACCAACTTCGGCTACAGCGCTAATACGTCCGGATAGTAGGAGTAAGTTATCTTCGCCGATTTTGGGAGACAGGTTGTATAACTTACTGTTGCGAGGCAGTGGCATCTCTCTCTCTAGGCACTCTCTCTCTGTTTTGAATGAGTCTAATTGGCTTTGCCACAAAACGTGGTTCTCAGCTACTAGCAGGTCACACGCTGTTAAAGAAGAAGTGGTTAAGTTTGTACTGCCTACTCTACTGCGCCTACTTGCGACCTTTCTAGCAAATAGATGGGCTAAAGCAGTGGAGCGAATAAGACATAACCATCTACTGATGCGTCTGGGGTCGGCTGATACTGGTGCTAATGGATGAGATGCTAAGTCAGTGATTGCATGACAAATGTTCCTGTACTTCGGTTTCAGCTCGGCATGATTAGCGGCCGGTATTTTAACAGTTGGTTCTACTGGCCACGACTCATTTGAGCGTAAGAAATTCGGACCGGTGAACCAGCGTGACTCTATAGACAACTTCTCTGTACTGAGACGTGTGGCGTCATCAGCCACATTCATTTCTGATGGAACCCATCGCCACTCACCGACCCTCGTCAATTCCAATATTTCACCTAAACGATTGGCTACAAAAGGCTTGAAATTGCGAGCGTCGTTGCGTAGCCATCCTATGACGTTCATAGAATCACACCAAAAGACCCGTTTGCACGCTTTGAGTTTGAGAGCATTGCAAATTGTATCGGCGAGTCGAGCTGCAACCAAAGCACCTTGCAATTCTAATCTCGGTATGGATGCTGGTTTTAATGGTGCGACTCTAACCTTGCTGCTAATAAGCACAACGTTAACTGTACCGTCTGGAAAAATGAGCCGCCAATAAGCTACCGAAGCATACGCGGATTCACTTGCATCACAAAAGATATGCAATTCTCTCTCGCAAGCCTCAATATCACCAATATTATATCT